ATATATATATATATATATCGATCTTAATGTTCTAATCTATCTATACTCATTATATTCGTATGTAGCTATATGTATATACGTCTATTTTGGTAGCATTATCACTTTTATATATATTTTATTGAAGACAACTGACAAAGCACAAGCTAATTATTAAATTTCTCTTGCATTCTTACAAGTGATTTCTTTTCTGAACATCGTGTGTGCAAAATCTATTCGGATTTTCTGTATAAACGTGGGCTATTGGCTAATCTGTTAGCTGTTATCAAGGAGGTTTTTGTTTAAACGAATATGTAGTCCTTGTTACATGTATATCTAGAGATGGAAATATTTTTTTAATTGTCGAACACTGTCAGAAGTTCTTGTTTGTTATTTTCGTGTAGAATATTTGTGTTGTCAACAAGTATTGTCCTGTATTTTAAAACTGGACAGGAATGTGTTTTTAGAAGTTGTGCAATAAAACATGTATCGGAAAACGAAGTGCAAGACGTCTAGATAATATTGTGGCCGTCATGCCAATAAACTTAAGTTTTAAAGTAAAATTAAGTTTTAAAACCACTTAGTTTTTTTTTAATGATACAATCTTCTAAAAAACCGTTCACCTGTGTTTTTTTTAAAAATCACTATCACAAAGTTATGCAAACTTTATCGCATTACAGTAAGTTTGTTTTTGTGATTTATCCCTGAAGATGGTCTTAGAAAAGTGTTATATAACAGACATATGAACACTAATGGGCATTTCCCAATCCTCATAAATACGTTGGACACTGTTGTAAGTGGCTCTAACATGCTGTCTAACTAGGCCACCACTAGCAGTGGTTTACGTACTTCACACCGCTGGCGAGTATTGTAATTTGTCAATGTTATAAAGTTCACCATTTCATTTCCAAACTCCGTTTTCCTTATTTCTTATTCAGTAATCCTTTCTAGGTTACAACACTATCTATCTATCTATCTATCTATCTATATATATATATGTGTGTGTGTGTGTGTGTGAAGAAATATTGTTATAAGGTGTGCTATATTTATGGGATAAGGTTCTCAATGTCAGAGATAGATCGTATGTAAACATAAATATAAAAGTGAGCATTGAAGTCATTTCAGTATCTAACTATCTATCAGTTATATACCGTACCTATGAACAATAATTAGGTATGTACCAATCCCTCATAAATACGTTGGTAGTTAATATGCTGTCTAATTAGTCAACCACTAGCAGTGGTTTACCTACTTCACGCCGCTGGCGAGTATTGTATTTTGTTGATGTGATAAAGATTATCATTTCCATTTCAAAACTCCGTTTTGGTTATTCCTCCTTCAGTAACCGTTTCTACGTTACAACAAAGGAAAGACAGAAAGTAGTTGGTAAATAAACAAAAATCTACGACGCCTTACCTTGATGGATTTCCTCTTAACAGCAAGAAGCAAATTAGACAAACAGAAACTATCAGTATAAAAATAATAATTACTCGCAATATGTGTATATTATTTAATGAAACATGTTTAAATCTCTCTCTCTCTCTCATATATATATATATATATATATATATATATATATATATAACAAAAACATTTTGAAATCGCTACACAAATGTTTTCATGTTTCAAATTGTATTACTACGTAACTGGTGATCAAAAAATATATGATGACATTTAAAAACAAAGTTTCTTTTCTCTCCCGAAAGTTAAAGGTGGGGACATAAGGTTAGACTTAAAAATAGACGTGCGTGTATGTCTTTATTAACCAATTACATGTCAAATCTAGGCTAAATAGAAACCTTAATCTCAGAGGATGGAGGTCAGTGGGTTATTTTTTTTCTTATCATGATAAACCGGAACATAGACATGTCATCATTGATGATTGCGGAACATATGTCAGTCACGATAGATTTGCCGCCGTATTTAATTAAAATATAGACAATAAAACCAAAGAATATTGGGTGAAATTTGAAACAAATTTTTACGAATAGATATGTTTCAAATTATGTTTAAACAATTGTTAAATATTTATGCAGCGCCCGATATATGAATAAATATATCAGCCGTATTAATTTAAGTGATAACTGTCCCTTAGATTGGCTGCAAACCATGGTAAGTGGCCCTAATCTGGTCTCCCATGTTATTTAAATAAAAAAGATGAGCCATGACCTTTCCGAGAGCATCACTGAAAACGGCAAACAAGACAGAGTAATCGAGACCAGATGTCACAAAGCCAACACAGTCAGTTACCAACTTGCTCCACTTCTAAAACATCCGAGCATTTCCATGAGCACGAAGGTAAATCTCATTAACGCCGTTTTCCTACCAACGCTGACATACCAGTGCCAGACATAGCCCTTAACAAAAAAACCCTTGAGAGGAAGCTGATCACTTTTGAGATGAAAAGCCTGAGGAAAGCAGTGAACAAGAGTATGGGAAACAAGAACAGGAATGAGGCAATAAAAGATATGGTAGGAGTAATAGCAATCATATAACACATCGAACGATAGAGGATCAAGTGGTTGGGACACCTCACTCGTGTACCTATCAACCAACCAGCCCTACGAGTATACACGCTCAGGTACTCTGGCTGGAGAGCGAGAGGCAGACCAAGAAGACGCTGGAGCGTCTCAGTGGCAGACACTCGCAGAGTGCACGCGTTATCTCTCCTCTAGGCCACTCGTCTTGCCGCTGAGAGACGACTGTGTCTCCACGCAACGCCTAACAGCACAAGCGGGAGGAGAAACTAAACTTAACTATTACTGCATTGCTAAATTTCCGAAACAGAAACGGCAGCATTTTGAGATACATTTTCAACGATGAAAACATCACATCTTAGTAGCAGGCCGAAAGAGTTAAATTCAACTTACACGCAATAATTTGCGAGAAATGCAATTATGAAGGAAATCTTTTTTTCAAATTTTACACCATCAAAAATTAATTCCATATAAGAGAAATGAAAATAATGTTATATTATTTTCAGTAATATGATTATTCAAGAAGCGATATATGTGCTTTTCAACAAGCGAAAGGAACGTTTTACTGAATATATTAATTAACAAACAAATCTGCCATAATTAATTTCTCAAATTGGAAGAAAAGTTCGCATTTTCATGTTTATCAAATTCTGCAAGTAGAATTATAGCAACATAGCACATTGGCTAATTTAAATAAAACCTCCAAATCATTGTAATTCTATTACATAATAATTACGGAATTATCAATGCGTCAAAATTGATTCGAACTGACATTTAAGATTGTGTGACATTCTACACTTCAGAGAATAGTTTCTACTTTTCAAAAGAATTTTAAGTCTAGCATTCCGTTTAGCATAGATTTATTCTCTTCTTGTCAGGAAATATCCTCATATTTATGATTTTCTATATCAATCTGGGCATATTGCAAATTAGTATTTGTTAAAATCCCATTTATGAAAAGGAAATCGATGCACGAGTGATTTATCTGTGCTTTTTCCCATGAATAGATAAAAAATTTTTGGAAACGCTTACATTCTCACGCATGCATATATATAATGTGTTTTATTTTCCAAAATGTAAAATAAAACATAATATTTTTAAAAAATACACATTACAACCAAAGACGTTTTCGGTTTCTCTCTTCTTTTTATATATATATATATATATATATATATATATATATATATATATATATATATATATATATATATATTAGGGCAGCAATCCCTCTTATATGCAAGTTTCGTTAAAAACGACTAACAACGTGTGGTGGTTAAGTTTTTTATATAGAAATTTTCAAGTGTTCGTATATTTTTTGGTCTTTTTAGTACATAAATTTTTCGGACATAAATTATATAAAATTTTTCCGAATGTTTTATATATGCAATACTTTTAGCAATTATCGGGGATGAATTTTATTTTACATTTAACTGAATATATAGATTGTTTATGTATGTGTCTGGAGTTATATCTAAATTTCGTCATTTTTATATATATATATATATATATATATATATATATATATATATATATATATGTGTGTGTGTGTGTGTGTGTGTGTGTGTGTGTGTGTGTGCGTTGTGTTATTTTTAACTGAATAGATGGATTGTTTATGTATTTATCTAGAGTTATATGAATGTTGTATTTTTTTAAACACGGTTAACACATTGTGGCCGTGTTCATAGCTGATATTATTGAATGTTGGGTTTTCTTTTTATTAATAGGAATACTTTTTATTAATATAGGAAATAGGTATTATTCCGTCTAAGTTAATTTTGATACATAGTAAACGATCTAGGAGAAATATATTTTTCTAAATGGCTAGCGTATCAAGCACACTGAAGTATTTTGTGTCTAAACAGGTAAAAAATACATCCAAATTTCATTATATATATATATATATATATATAAACATATATATATATATATATATATATATATATATATATATATATATATATATATATATTATATATATATATATATGTATATATATATATATATATAATTCATTTAACTGAATATATGGATTGTTTTATGTATGTATCTAAAGTTATAGGAATGTTTTCCAAACATGGTTAACACATTGTGGCCGTGTTCATAGCTGATATTATTGAGTGTTGGCTTTTTCTTTTTATTAATAATGCTTCCACTATTTTTAACCTTTTTCTACATGTGGATGCTGCTATTATATTTAAATTATCAACTATTATGTTTTGGATAGAGTTTGGTAAATCTCCATGAGTATTCAAATGAGACCTAATTGAGCTATGGTCAGAGAGATGCAACGTTATTCTTCTTGTTAAATACCGTGTAGTATATCCAATATAATTATTTACAAATTTGGATTGGTCAGGAACACGGTACTTTAAGGAACTTTAAGGGACTTGTAAAATTCGTAAATAATATTGCTTCTCTGTAATTTATATCTTGCAGGGGAATTATTATTTTTGACAATGAGTTTAGCAGTTTTAATTATTTATAATAAATAAATAAATTAATTTTTTGTTTTTGAAGTTTTGCATTTCTTTATAATGTTCCTAAGTGAACATTTGTCTTGCTTAATATTTCTATACATTTGATTTCTGTAGAAAATGTTAATGTTATTGTATATTTCTGCATGTTCAGTGTTGCTATAGGTTACCTTAGAAAGAAAAAGTCTAATATGTTAATCTATAAGATAGTTTGGAAAACCGTTATTAACTAACGTCTGTTTCCCGTCATTAAGTTCTATACAGAAAGCGAATTCTCGTTTTATGTTTGAGAGGACATTGACGAGTAAAATTAAAATGGCAAAAGATTTTACTAGTGTATGTTTTATATAAGGCAGTACTAAATGTATTATTACTAGACACCACAAAATAACCAAGAATTGAAGTCTGTTTTATTGACTAAGTTCATAGGTAAATGTGAGTATGTAATTTGTTTCGAAAATAGTTTTGAGCTTATCAATTTCATTTTTGTTCTCAGCTAAAATAAAATTATTTACGTAGCGGACATATCTTGGGTTTAGTACTTTTCTAAATTCATTTATTTCTTCGTGGGACATGTAATAGATAAAAATGCATGGACTGAAACATGCATATATATATATATATATATATATATTTTTTTTAAATAAATATATATATATATATATATATATATATATATATATATATATATATATTTATTTAAAAATATGATTCCAACTCGCGACATAAGAGGTCTCATATTTCAAAAAACAAGCCGAAATCTTTTATGATTATTTGAATTGAAGATGGAAAAGAGCTCGAAATTTTTTATCTTCAATTTAATTCAAATAATTATTTTGAAGTTTAAAGTTTTCGGCTCTTGTTTCGAAACATGAGACCTCTTATGTCGCGAGTTGGAATCATATTTTAAATAAATAATTATATTCATGCTCTACTTTTGTATCGAGCACTATTTTTAAAAAATAATAACTAAAATACTAAGGAACTTTGGATTATTTACCTAACCAGTTCTTTCCTATTTTCTATATATTTTCACACACACACACACACACACACACACACACACACACACACACACATATATATATATATATATATATATATATATATATATATATATATAACTTGTAAAACTTGGGATGACCCATGCCCTTTATACTTACATGAAAAACTAGACATTATTAAGTTTCTAAATAATAAAAAATCTATTAAACAATAGACATGAGTTAACGGTTTTTTGCCGACATCATCAAATTTCCGCATTGAATAATTAGCATAAAAACAAACAAACAATAAAATAATTTTTAAATTCCATAGTCTAAATGGATGGTTTAAATACCCTACAAAAAAAAAAATTAAATAACCCTTTATGAAGTCGTCAAAAAAACAAATGTTAGCGACTTATGGCAGTTTTTTTATATACACAAAACCCTTTCAGAAAAAAATAAAATATAAATTAAAAAAAATAAATAAATCTCCATAGACACTTAACCAGACTAGACGATGTCATATTCCGCTTTAAATTTAGACACCCCAACCTTACCCTGACTTGATATCTGTGAATGTAACTGAGATATTGATACAAATTATTAACCCTTACGCCCCTTTTCTTTAAACAATTGCTCTAGCCGTTACCATAGTAATTTTAATTTCAATAATGAATATGCTTATAAAACACGTAAATTTCAGGAGTTAGTTATTCAAAAAAAAATCGTAGGGCATTATATCAAGTGTTAGTTAGGGGGGCCGTTCATGATGATTTGATTGACGGGCTCGGTCTTACGAAGCATGAGGCTCGCTCTATCTGGCCTTGGGCTCCCGGGTTGAAATATCTCAATAACGATGAGGCATCCCTCACCTGGCTGGTGATGCGTGGAGCCCTCTAGGTCGCCAAAAAGCTTTGCGCAGCGCGTTTGGAGAAATATCCAAACTGCCGACGTTGTAGTGGGGAAGTCGAGACGCTAGGTCACGTCTTCTTTCATTGCAAGTTGGTAGCTCCGTTGTGTAAGTTTGTTGAAGGCCTCATGGTTCGAATGTTGCACGGAAAGTTCTTTGTCCTTGAGGCCTCTTCCGTTTGTAGCAATGTGGCACCGCCGTTGACAAAGGTTGAACTTTATGTGTTCTACTGCTTGCTAGGATTTAGAGAGTCGTGATTTGGTTGACACGTCAGAAGGGATTCTATAGAGGTGAGAAGTTCACCTCTTCCCAACTGATCTTGTACTTTAGGCATCTGCTTAAAGTCAAGATTAGGACGAAAAGGCGGCGACTCTCTTCACAAGAATTCGGCAAAAGGTGGGTAAATCTTGCGCGACTGTGTAGAGTGAAAGGGGCTAACCTGGAGTGACACTTGGATGTCGGTTAGGTACATGATTTTGTCCTATCAGGGTTGAACAGAAGCAACCCACCCCGATATTAGGCTAGTTTAGGTCATTTTAGTTTGAATTTTTACTTTCCCGTTTCTGGTTAATTTAGCTAGGGTATGCATGCTCATTGGTCCCTTTTATTTCAGTCCCTATTTTTCTTTTGTTTAATTCCCTATCCCCTCCCTCGTTAGGTGGTCAGTGATGTCAGTTCTCTGGTTGTTGCGGGATGACTTTCGTTTCGTGTGTGTGTTTTCGTATTTGTTATTGTGTCTAAATGAGTGCGTGTTTGTGGGCGTGTTTGTGGGCGTATTTGTTTTTTAAAATGTTATAATCCCGCAATTCGTTCAGTTCACTGATGTTTCTGCCACATTTATTTATGGATTGTGGGGTTTTTTATTACTAACCCTATTTTGTTTTGTCTTATGTAAATAGTATTAAATCATATTGTAAATAATCATTGTTTTTTTTAAATTGTTGTTTTTCCCCCTTCACGCCACAGACTTTAAAATGTACATATGGGGACTAGTTAGGATTTCATAGAGAATTTGAGGTATTACGGTGGACGTAGTATGAAAGGTAGGAGTAAATGTGTTCTTTTGGTGATAGGAATATTGTTGGTATATTTGGGACCGTGTCTGTGACTAGCTAAATTTAGAATTAAGACAGAAGAAGACCGTCCTTCCCCAACCCCCTTTTTTGGCCTTGTGTCATATTTTGTACTATTGTACGAATAAATAACTATTCCAAAGAAAATTTCGCTTGAAGATGGAACAGAGCTTGGTATTTTAATTCAATTTAATTCAAATAATTATATGTACACTATTTACATTGTTCGGACTATCATACTCATCTTCGTTGTCATATTTATTAGAACGTTTCGGCCATTGTACGCTCCGCCCTTCCTCAGTTGGTTGGAATGTCGAACGCTTTATTTCACTCGCTGGGTAGACTGTTCTAATTCCAGGTGCCATGTCTAATCGATGTCAGTCATCAGTTATCTCTTGTTAATTCCCCTCTCCAAGTTATCCACCACCTTGACCTGTTTGGGTCCTGTCACTGGATCTAACTAACGCCTTTATCCACTGTGCCATGTGTCCTCAAAGAGATAACTGATAACTGACATCCATTAGACATGGCATTAGAATGTGAACCTTGCGATAGGCGAACCTGCGTGTGTGTGCGTTTGTGTGTGTGTGCGTAAAAATTTGTGTATATCTTTATTGAACATAGAGATTAGGACATACATTTACACGTGAGAATTATTGCAAATCAAGGTATTCGATACAGGTTTTTATCATGTAACATATACGCAAGGATTTTCCTGAAAACATTCCCAAATCATTAGTAAATATTTCCGGTGATCCTAAACAGCTTATTGGTATCATCTAAAAACTACATGAACAGATGCTGGCAGCTAATCTCTTCTCTGTCTCGGGTATAAATATTCAGTGCAAGGGAATGGGCTTGCAGCATTCAATAATACAAAACCAAGTTAATATCTTTCCATCATTACCAGAGAGAAAATGAATTTTCTCCAGGTACGATGAGAAGCTCTATTCTCAAAGAGGCTCCTTGCCATGAACGTATATCCGAATTAATTTTCAACTTAGATCTGAAGCGGAACACCGATATACGATCCATTGCTACAGATCCCCCAAAAAGTGGTCTCTTCTCGCCGTAGTTTCGGAAAGCAGCTGAAAGTTTCTGCTATGCACTCTCTTTACAAGGATTATATCAGTCCAAATGCGGAGTATGCGTTTCCATAGCTGGGCTGGAGCGAGTCAGTGCTCACTTCAGCATTCTCTGTCAGTTAGTTGTCAAATGTGATGCATGCTTGGCTGACCATGTCTCTTCCGATTCATGACTGACTACGCAGAAGATATTCCCGCAGTAGGCGGCCGTTTCTTTCTTTCTTTTTCTTTGTCTTTCCTTCTTTCTTCTTTAATAACAAAAGCGATTTTTTTAAGTTCAAATGCGTTGTTGACGACTTTTAATGATTTGCAATTCTACAGTCACTTTCTAATAAACCAAACGTCACAAACCTATCGCTACTCTATAGCTATTTCCATGACAAATTTTCCTATATTCTTTAGCTCTGACTTTACATCTATGTCGCGTACATTGCTTCGAATCCTTCTTTAGTATTCCACTGGTAAGAAAGGATATTTTTTTTTATGTTATAAGGCAGTTATAGCAAACCGCTATTTTGTGGGAAAGATGTCTGGGACGAAGTTTTTATTGAACGTTTTTTCACGATGATTCTTACTAGCCATTTCATAATTTAAAAATATACATTTGTTTTCATTTAAAAACAAAGCTAATATTCAGGTTGGAAATAAAAAAAAACATTTGGTTAATTTTATGGTATAGTCTAGTTTATTTTATCTCCGCCTGCAACATCTCAGCACGTTGTTTCCAATTGAGCATATTCACCATAGTAGTTTTCAATTCATCATATTTTTGATGTGATTATTGCTTACATCATTTTTGCTATCATTTTACCCGAAACAAGGCCTCTAGGACTAAAAGGCTATTACTGAGAGTGAAAGACAATGAGAAGACGTTAGTGAAGAGTAAATTGCTCTTATGGAGGCTAGTATCAATAATGATGGTATAAAACAAATTTAGTTCGCTGACTAAATGACAGCAATTTCGTTATTAATGATTAACCTTTGAATTGTTTCCTTCTTTCCCCGATTTTCTTTTTTACATTTGTATACTTTTTACAGTAAGCTAGCATTAAATGAAAAAGGACAAAAAATGGCCGTTGACTAATTCTGAATACGGCTGTATCACGTTGCAAATTTTGACAGCTCTGTCCTACCTTATCCATCGGATATTGACCACATCCGGTGCAGTGTTTTAAGAGGGGCAAGTGCAAAATCTTGTTTATAGATGGGGAAAGTGCTTAGCTAATGGTGCTTACAATTTATAACTGGTGATTTAGAGATTGACACTTGCTGCACTCAAAACTTTTATTCTATTTCAAGTATATGTTTCAGTTTCCATAAAATTAAATAACAGACATTCTTTTCGAATTGTCTTTCGGATATTAACTAGATGAAGGGACAGACATTAGATTCTGCCTCGGATACCCTGGTGTTGCATCTGTGACTTCTACATAACTTTCTGTAAATTCAATTTCCTGGTTAAAAAAATAATTTCCGCTTGTTACCTACTATACCAATCTACCTATTAGTTTTTGACAATTTAACCTCTGTCTAATACATTTTTGTTTTTGTTGTTTTTCTGACAAAATATTCAGCTCGTTATAATATTCAATAGAATAAATTTCAACTAAACGCTATGGCTCTGAAATAAATAAATTTGTTCCAAAAGATTTAAAATCACCTCTCATATCTCGGGAAGCTGTCTAATTCTAACGATATAATCACGGGAATTAAGGGACAATATATTTAAGCCTGAAGAAACGAAGATGAACTGGACATTTGCCACTGTTGTGTCGGAAACCTACCACCCCTCTTGAAGATGAACTTGTTTGCGTCTGTGAAATAGTGGCATGTCAGTTGACATGGAAAGAAGACAGATAGACAGAGAAGTTCTTAGCTGAGCTAGTTATTGACTACTCAGACGATTTCTGTACTTTTTTACCAACCTATTAAAACCCTTTTTATTGTTACGTGTTATTTGGCGTTTGTCTCTACTAACCCCAAATCAACATCATAACAGCCACTGAATCTATTCTACGGACAGATTTGTTTATTTAGAAACAGTAAAAGGAGACCCGACTCTGCTATTTAATATTAGCCTTCTAGAGAATTCTGGACAATTTAATATTTTCCAGGTGTGAAAAGAGGACATTTTTCTCTCACAAGACACACCATTGGCAAGAAGAACACAGTAATACAGCGAGTAGCTTAATTAACAAGTTGTTATGGGGTCCTCCCCTTTTTCATATAAGTGGACTCTACCAAGTGTTACTTGGAGTGCTGCCGTTAAAGAGAGAGAGAGAGAGAGCGAGAGAGAGAGTAAGTATACGAACGGGAATAGTGTGAGGTAACCTCTTGTAGAAGTCAGTTACAAGCACGTAGACTCTAAGGAAGTCCTACTTCGAGAATGTATATATCTATCTGTATTTGCCACTAACCGCGTTCCTGGATTTACTAACAGTATTACCCTTTGTATTATTGTGTAAATACATTTTATTTCTTATATTTAATTATTGCGTTTGTCCTTCATTGGAGACCGAATTTCATCATCAGAATCCACAACACAAGCTTTTATAAAATGTTGCAAAACTGAGAGTAGGAAGAAAAGAGAAAAGTAAGAGGAGAAATACTGCTAAGACCTGGAAGGTCATGATCGCATACGTTCTGAACAGAGAAATATGTATGAAAATTACGCGTTTGCCTTAATAGGGCATGTTGGTGTTTCATTTTCTTTAGAATGTCAAAATTGCAGTCAGTGTGAAAGCCGGTGTTTGATGTGATAATGAGAAAAATAGAATCATAGCTTTGGAAAATCTTGGAGCATTTAGTTTTAAATATGTATAGAAAAACGTAATATCCACAGGTTCTTGCTTACAAACGGACACCAAAAGTTCACAGTTTCAACAATAAATGCAAATAAATTTAATATCTTGTGTATTAGATACATTGAATAGAAAATATATTCAATTTTAAATTATAATTATGAACCACTACATACAAAATACAGTGTTTTTTTTTACTGTATTTGATAATTAAAAAAATTGTAAAAGATTAGATGTAGAAATGAAAACGTTTATGCAAAAAGCTACTCAATGAATAAGATCTTATGTTGTGTCCTTCTTAATAAAAACAAAAAAAAAATAGATAAGAGTGTATATAACACCATGATACTCTTGGGAACAAATTATAAGACTATGTTTTGAATTTGCATTTAAAACTACTGCATTGTATAGCATATTACAACACAATATATTTAAATTAACTATCATAATTTCCTTTTGAAGGAAATGAAGCTCTTATTTAATGGTATAAAGATTTACTAATAATGTGTGTGGGTCTTGCATTTTGTCCATATACAGTGTGTAAATATTCGGTAAAGTATAAATATTATAAGGCTCTGCTATAAGTCTTTCAATGATCACCTGAATGAAATGCCAACACTACAATTTTGAATCTAAATTTATCAACATTGCAATCAGTGTGAAAGCTGAGGTTTGATGTAATAAGTAATGACCAAAAATAGAATCATATCTTTGGAAAATTATTTAGCATTTAGTTTTAAAGATCATATAATAAAATTTATAGAAGTAGCTAATATCCACAGGTTTTTGCTTACAGACATCAAACTTTTACTCTTTCAAGAATAAATCCAAATAAAGTTCATATCTGGTGTATTTGATACATGGAATAGAAAATATATTCAAACTTAAATTATAATTATTAATTATTACAAGCAAAATAGGAAAGCAGTAACGACCCCTCAGTCCATGACTGATCGTTTTGATGATTGATTCGGCAATATTGCATTTTCCTCTGCAATATGTCAGATAACTTCTGAAGCAATCCGTCTCATTGTAGTGAAATCTAGATGCATGGTAAGCAGGCCTCACCTCATTTTCACGCCAGTAAATATAGAAAGATGTTTAAGACAATGATGTGTCTTCTCCCCAGATTTATTCAACCTCTACAGTGTAGTTATCTGTTGTAACCTAGAAAGGGTTACTGAATGAGCAATAACCAAAACGGGGGATGGAAATGAAATGGTAACCTTTATAACATCAACAAAAAACAATACTCGCCAACGTCGTGAAGTAGGTAAACCACTGCTACTGGTGAACTACTTAGACAGTATATTATCCCCACTTACAATAATGTTCAATGTATTTATGAGGATTGGTTCATACGTACGGTATATAACACTTTCTGACTTTCTTTCTTCCTTTCTGTTGTAAACTAGAAGGGGTCACTAAATGAAGAATAACCAAAATGGAGGTTGGAAATGAAATGTTAATCTTTATAACATTAACAAAATACAATACTCACCAGCGGCGTGAAGTAGGATTGGGACATATCCATTAGTGTTCATATGTATGCTATATAACAATATCTATCTCAGTTCAGGTTCTATCTATCTATCTATCTATCTATCTATCTATCTATCTATCTATCTATCTATCTATCTATTATGACGTAGAAAGGGTTACTAAATGAGGAATAATGAAAACGGAGGTTGGAAATGAAATGGTAATCTTTATAACATTAACAAAATACAATACTCGCCAGCGGTGTGAAGTAGGTAAGCCACTGCTAGTGGTGGACCAATTAGACAGCTTATTACTCCCTCTTAAAATAGTATCCAACGTATTTATAAGGATTGGGACATAGCCATTAGTGTTCATATGAACGGTATATAATATTATCCTATCAGGATTTATTATCGGTGGGCGTATTTTTATCGAGATAAGATATGCAGATGAAACTGTGCTTGTGGCTGATACGAAAAATGAAAATAAACTACATGACTCCCGGGACAGATTAGTAACATAATGCTAGAAAAAGCGACTATATACCAATGGCAAGAAGACACAAATAAGGTCACTAGAAAGAGGAGAAAGCGCAAGAAACCACAAACGCATTGGAAATTTCAACATTAATCAATTACAGAATTTTAAATGAAAGTTTTAACAGAGAATTGAAAACACGAAACTGACATTTGATCAGGCATTGGAAGAGCGAAAAAGACATTCAAAAAGCATATATGTAAATTCAGTTCTCGAAAATTTACACACTATGTCAAAATCATGCAGTTAATTCAGTTTCATTTTTGTTACAATTGTTCATCCAAAACAAGGTTCAAGATCCACTCAAGTCAGAAGAATATTGAATTAGATGAATGTTCACTATTTACATTATTCGGAATATCGTCCTCATTTTTGTCGCCATATTTATTACAACGTTTCGGCCGTTGTACTCTCCGGCCTTCTTCAGGTGATTGGGATGTCGAACTGAACCCGTTTTAATTCGCCCGCTGGTTCTAGTTCCCAGTGCCATGTTTAATGTATGTTAGTTATCAGTTATCTCCTGTTAATTCTCGTCCCCCAGTTCTTCACCGCCTTAACCAGGTATTGAACTCACACTTTTTGTGTCCTGCCACTGGATTTAACTAACGCCTTTATCCACTTGTTCAGTTCGACATTCCAACAACCTGAAGAAGGCCGGAGCGTACAACAGCAGAAACGTTGTAATAAATATGGCGACAAAGATGAGGACAATAGTCTTAATGATGTAAATAGTGAACATAATACCTCATCGCAGAAATATAGGCAGATACTGAGTTGAATGCTATGAACATAACAAGAAGTAAGAAGTCAAACGTATGAGGATATGAAATATAGATAACGATTTACCTTGGACTGGAAGAGGCTGAGGGTATAGTCTTGTGGATAAGTAGTCTGCTTTATAAAGTAGCTTTTTGGGGGTAAAAATAGTCTGAGTGGAACTTCCTCCATACAAATAGAAAAACTAACAGAATGAAGATCTCTCGAAAGTCTCGGTGTATCAGGATGCTTTTTAGCTGTAAAGTTTAGAACTGGTGGAAGTAAAGAATGGAGATCGTCAGACATGCAACCATGGAAATACTGACAGAGCAGCGATAGGCTTGTGACTTTTCGTCTATAGAAAGAAGGAATTAGATTGGAAATTAAGTCACTGCTTAAACAGGCCCCGAAACCGCTTTTGAAGTCCGACACGACTAACGTAGCTCCAGCGTAGACATGACAGCAATACACGATTTTTTTGTCTCACATGATTCTTGTACGCATAAAACATTGCAAAGGGAGTCGGTTAATTCTTGGAACGATACAAGGAACCAACTCCTTTTTTCAGTGTTCTTGGTGACGGATCGTATGGATGATTTACGCTTGATTTTAGCTTGATGCCTGGAGTGAATTTTGTGTCTGGAGAAAATTATACGACTGCTCTCTGGTGAGGAAATATTACAAAGTTGGATTTAAGAGCAAATGAAAAACGTCAATTTATTTTTCAGTTATTAAATTACAAGCAATTATTACATTGGCGCTTAGACATGGTGTGATGATGAACAATCTAGCTTCGTAGAAATTTATTATTGCTTTTAGTTCTATACTGACTGCTGAACAACACTTGTGACTAATTTGATTTTTAAATAACCTGTCATATTTGGTCTGCTACTTCTGTTTTCTATTTTGTGATTCTTGATAAAATCCAAAAAAGAATCGGCAATGATATCAGTCTTTACTTGGCATCTCACATTGCCACCAACGTAACGTTGCTTACTTGTGTTTTTTCTATAAATATCGCCAGGGTATTTATTCTGACAAGGTTTCCTATTTGGCACCTTGAATTTACGAATTTATGTGTAGTACTGGATTGGCAGTTAGGTCTCATTATATTACAGTTTTAATTACTATATATGTCCCTGAGTACTTTGCTAACAATGCTCGAACTTCTCACTTGAGAAATTCCCTTCCGGCTACTTGCTTTCCAGTTTGATCTTTAAAAATTGAAATACAATGCAAATCGTTATCTTCTTCCTTCTTAATTCCTGCTTTTTGCTTCTCATTTTTCTCTCTCCTTAATAATATTTTCTTTTTTTTAAGTTTTCACACTCAGTAGCCACGGTATAGGGATTAAAAACGGGATTCTTTTTACGCTATATCTGTTTAAGTCATTGTTTGTTAATGATTCGCAATATATTATTTTCTTTATTTCTATGATTTCTTGTTCCATGATTTTCAATTCAGAGTAATATATATATATATATATATATATATATATATATATATATCCAGCACCAGGGTCTAGGAGATTAGGAATTGCTGTTGTTCTCCGATCCACCATGATCGGGGATGGTAGCACGTTAGGGATCCAACTATTGGCAAAAGTTCAACTCCAACTTCGGGTCAAATCACTATGAAAGTGTAAAAATATTTTTTATAGTAAAAGTACCAGCAATACATTTTATGAAAAAAATAATTATTACCAGGAGTACATTTTTGAAAAGAAAAAATATTACCAGCAATATATTTTTGAAAAAAAATAGTACCAGACTTAACTTTTGGAAAAAAAAAATTATCAGCAATACAGTGAAAAAAAAATAGTATCAGTAATACATTGTAAAAAAAAAAATACCCGTAATACTTTTTTGAAAATTAAAACAAATAATTACCAGCAATACACTTTGTAAAAAAAAAAAATATTAAAAGCAATACATTTTTGAAAAAAATTACCATCAATAAATATTTGGAAAAATTATCAGCAATTGACAAAACCCCTCTTTACAAAGAATAAATATTCTATTCATACAAACCTATGTCGGCATTAAATGACCCACTCAGGTTGACATGCCGTCAAACAAAATAAAACAAACCAAATCAGAGTAAACATTCTACTAAAGATACTGCACACACCCTGATATTTTAACCAAGGTTCGGAGACACGTGATATATTCATGCATATCGAATTCTCAACGGACTAAGAAAAAAAAACCACTGGATAAGCCATAATTTTAAGTCGGATTTATATTCTTATTTCAGTGACGATAAAATTTAATCTAATCGCATGTCCTTATGTTATGATGTTGATTTGGGGTTAGTAGAGACAAACACCAAATAACACGTAAGAATAAAAAGGGTTTTAATAGGTTGGTAAAAAGGTATAGAAATCGCCTGAGTAGTCAATAACTAGCTCAGCTAAGAACTTCTCTGTCTATCTGTCTTAGTATTTATCGATCCACCCACGAGGATTGAATATGGCACAAGGCCGGTTTAATGTGGGTATCTCCAAGCCCGTAGGCTCGGCCAAAAATATAGCCTTTGAACCCGCCTAGACGGGTTCAGGCCCTGTCTACCTCTCCGGACGAAACCTTACCCTTCGGCAAAGCTTCGTCCGGGTTCCTCTCTGCTAACGCAGAGAGTTCGACAGACGTCGCTTACAGTCAAAGCTCAGCTAGACTCGGAGGTCTTACCCTCTCTGTCTATCTGTCCTTTCCCATGTCAACTGACATGCCACTATTTAAAGTCTTTGTTCACAGACGCAAGAGGGGTGGTAGGTTAGTTAAACCTGTGGTTGTGTTTCAACCTGATATGGTCGTAAGCCACAAAAATTACTATTGTTTTATATGGAATATGATTTCACTGTCACACGTACATACTTTTTCATTCGTGTGCCTGTCTAATATAAGATTAGTAACAAATTATTTACATAAAGATTACCGATTATTTTCTTCCAGCTAAATAAATACTAACAATTAATACAACACAAAAGTATTTACCAAATAATTTTGTTTATTCTTTTTTAGGTAAGTCACCTTTATATTTGCTGATTTTACGCGGCGTAACTTTACTTGAACAGCATTTGAAAGGTAAGTGACTTGTAATTTTTCATGAAAAAATATACAGCAGCTGTCCACTTCTTTCGTAATAGATCTTTACATATTATTTTTTAGGGTGTAATCTTTAAAGAAAAATATGGTGATGGTCAAAAATATATTAAGGCCATAAACACGGGAAAATATACCCTTAAGGTGTGCTATATTTATGTGATAAAGTGCTCAATATCAGAGATAGAACGTGTGTAAATATAAAAGTGAACATTGAATTCAACACTAAGAGACGACAGGCTGTTTCATGCTAGACGTAATCGTGGCCTGACGATTGTGTCTCAGCATGAAAACAGCCTGTCGCCTCTAAAGTGTTGAATTAAATGATATATATATATATATATATATATATATATATATATATATATATATGTATGTGTGTGTGTGTGCGTGTGTGTGTGTGAATAATAAAACACACACACAAAACACAAGAATAGAGAAAGGAAGACACCAAGAAAAGTTACATACAAAAAACACATATAGAAGTTAATGATTTAAATGGCGAGAATCTTCGCAAACAATTTCAATAAAGTACACTAACCCCGAACCTGTCTATGAATGATATGATCCCTGTTTATATATTCCAATTGCATTGCATAAGGTCTTTTTTTTAGTTTTTAAAAGCTTTCGTCTGTTCCTACAGACATCCTCCGGTTTTTTACTTTGTTTTCGGATTACATCTATATTTTCGTTGTCCTCTTATTATCGAGAAGTAAAAAACAAGAACAAATCTATTTCCATACCTGAGGATGTCTGTAGGAACAGACGAAAGCTTGTAAAAAGTAAAAATGACCTTATGAAACGGGAATTTATAAACAGGGATCATATCATTCATATACAGGTTCGGGGTTAGTGTACTTTATTGAAATTGTTTGCGAAGATTCTCGCCATTTAAATTATTAACTTTATATTTGTTTTTTATGAATATATATATATATATATATATATATATATATATATATATATATATATATATATATATATATGGTGGGTATGTGCGCTAAATCTGCCGAAGTATATATTCCAATATAAAACTAAATAAATTTTGGAAAGTGACCTCAACCGAAAACATTTCACACACACACGCACACATATATATATATATATGTGTGTGTCTGTGTGTGTGTGGAGAGAGAGAGAGAGAGAGAGAGAGAGAGAGAGAGATGAACTGATTGACTACAGAAGTGTTCGTTTGCACTAGAAAGTTAAAACATTTCTCGTATCTATGCATTCTTTCGTCATCGGATGTTATTGTCTTACGAAAAAGCCATGGTGACTAATATACTTACTCGATGAACTCAAAATTTCCAAAATATCTTTTGAAGTATTGTTATTTTGTGTCAGGCATCCCGTGTTTACAGCTGAATAAGAATCATGTCGATATTTCATATCTCCATATTTGTGTCGAAGTTCACATCAGGAAACATCAAAGCTGACATAATAACATAAATTCACCAAACAAGCTTGTGTTAAATCAGCGGTAATATTTCGCCATGAGATAATGAGTACAATTTCTTTTTTTTTTCTACTAGATATTACAAAATATATAACACTTAATATAACTTTAGTAAAAGTAACTTGTGCCGTTCCTGTAAGTACATTTCTCCTCCTGCTACCTTCTGCCTTTATGAGGAAAGGCCGAAAATTGAGGAATTCTGTTATCTATTGATAGGAGTTATCCAGTCGCCACTTTCCAGGTTTGATGGAGTTAAAAAAGAACGTATCTTCCTCCTTCTGGAAGGTGAATTATTTTCCAACTTAGAAATTCTTTCCCCACAGAAGAAACTTTACATACATCTCGCTGATTTATCATATTATCATGGAAAGTGTTCAAACGAACTACATTGTATTCTTCCAGCACTTCTAATATTTTCAAATGAGACGGACTATTTACACATTGTAGTAAACAACACCCATATTTCTTGTATTCGCACAGGTGTTTTCTTTACGGTATAAAATATATGTAAAAAATGTTTAATATATCAAAAGGCTTACGGCTATTCTATTAGTCACTAGTAGTAGGGCCCGGCGTTGCCCGGGGATGTAACAGTAAGAAATAGATCAAGTATCGACCATCATAAAGACTGAAAAATAAAATTGACAAAGATTATTGTTTAAGGTTGACGGACACGGATGTCTTAATTAGTTTTATTTATTTATTTTACGAATTGGTCAAACCCAAACTCAAACAAAAACATTGTTTTCAATTGTTATGAGTCTACCGATTGAATAGAATTTTATTATAAACAAGTCTTGTATATGGAATTTTTAAAGCATTCTTAATGTAAAAATAAAGAAAAAACTGTGCAAGGCAATAAGAAACACTACCTGCCAAAAAAAGTGATGTTTTGTTAAAATCGGTTGAAAAATGTAGGAAACCCGATCCCATATATAAACGAACACACATACACACACACAAACAACCAACCTGGGTTTTATAATAAGTATAACTCGATAACTCGATATTAATAAGTATAACTCGATATGAGTTGTCCTCCTTTCATTCTCTTAATCATGTTTTCAAATTGATTTCGTGCAAAAACAATTGTGTTTTTCCAATTTTGGGCGCTGTCAGAACCACTACGAAGTAATTTTACATAGTCCTGTGAAGTTTTGTTGAAATCGGTTGAAAAATGTAGGAAATCCGATCCAATAAAAACGTACACACACACACACACACACACACAACCTGGGTTTTATAATAAGTAAGATAAGATTATAAGGGATGTTAATTTACTTTTAATTGAATATAGATATTGTTATACATGTGTATCTACATTGATGAGATTTTTTTCAATATCCGAACACGGTCAGCACGTTGTGATCATGTTCATAATAGATATTAATGAGTGCTCTCTTTAACGAGTCCATTGTTTTTATCCGTTTTGTATAAGTGGATGTGTCTGTTATGGTCGCATTTACTACAAGTATGTTGCGGTTGGAGTTTGGAAGGTTTCCGTGTGTGTTTAAACGGGTGCAAATTGAGCTAGGAATGTTCACATACATAGTGCAGCGGCACAATCATCTCTTTCGTATTTCAGTATTGAGACGGGCGCTCAACTCGAGTAACTTATTCCTTAGAACCACCGCTGTGTGGAACCGACTCCAGAGAGAATGCTTTCCCGATCACGACAGGCTTAACCTGTTCACATCTAGTGTTAACCCTTATATTCCCCACATATCTCCCTAAACTTAGCCTCCTGTTTGTTTAACCCTCTACCGCGAGTGACCCTTGGGCCTTGTACAGGGAGAACGTTATTTGTAAAAAAATTAGAGGTTTTATTGGAAATAACAGAAACATGTAAACAATGATTTTATAAAATGTCTCTTTCGTTCCTCGACGAGAATGGATATTTGGTTCCTGTATTTAAAAAAATCTGTACGCATTAATTCTAACGGCATCAGTCATCATTGATAATCTTCATGACTATAAATTACAATATTATTTACATTTCTAAGAAGACATTTGACGTGTATATAGAATTTATTGAAAATGTTATTTAATATTTACAAGGTACTAAATAAGTCTATTCATAACCGATATAGTCCCCACATAACGCCATGAACTGTGTCTCTTACTCTGTAACCGTCGACATCGAATGTCTCTTGGTCTTTGTACAGGGTGAGCATCATTGCAAAAATATATATATATATAAAATCTAAAACGCAGAATCTTATATTAATTAACGTTTAATATATTTCCCACTTTATCAGTACCGTCCTGCATGAATATTGCTTTAACCTGCCATCATATTTTGTTCCAAGGTGATCAAGAAACACGGAAGATCAAAGTTACAAACACTAGTTTTAAACAGCTTTACTTCGTTCTTTCAGATGTTAAAAGCATCCAAAATTAACATCATTACTAACAAAGCTGCTGCTGCTGCTGATTATTATTATTATTATTATTATTATTATTATTATTATTATTATTATCCCCCCTCTCTCAAAGTATTATTGATAATGTATTATTTACCAATATCTTATACAAGAAATCTATACGCTCCTCCATTCTCTTTAGCTCAGTTTTTCCTATCTATCTATCTATCTATCTATCTATCTATCTATCTATCTATCTATCTATATATGTATATATTAGTATGTGTGTATCTATCTATCTATCTATCTATCTATCTATCTATCTATCTATCTATCTATATATATATATATATATATATTAGTATGTGTGTATCTATCTATCTATCTATCTATATATATATATATATATATATATATATATATATATATATATATATATTAGTATGTGGGTATCTATCTATCTATCTATCTATCTATCTATCTATCTATCTATCTCTCTCTCTCTCTCTCATATATATATATATATATATATATATATATATATATATATATATTAGTATGTGTGTATCTATCTATCTATCTATCTATCTATCTATCTATCTATCTATCTATCTATGTATCTATCTATCTATCTATCTATCTATCTATCTATCTATCTATCTATATATATATATATATTAGTATGTGTCTATCTATCTATCTATCTATCTATCTATCTATCTATATATATATATATATATTAGTATGTGTGTATCTATCTATCTATTATATATATATATATATATATATAGATAGATAGATAGATAGATAGATAGATAGATATTGAAAGAGAGAGTGGCATTTTTAAAGAAGATTGTTAAATTGAGATCAGATTTGTATGGTCTGAGGTGGATATATATGCTGTTCATCTTCAAAAACTTGAGTTAATTGATCTAACAGTTTTCTTTTAAATTTCAAGCATATTTGAGTATCTTGGCTTACGTACGTAGTAATTCTTTCAGGAAAGATGAGTTTGGGAAAAAAAACGGAGTGTAGATTTATATTCTGATAAGATTCCATGGAGACACTTTCGAGTATTTTCCTTCTGGGAAAATTTATTTCAGTGTATGACAAGTACATTTGATAAATCGCTATATATCAAGTCCCTTTTGTCTTCATGGATACGTTTTTTTTTTAATTTCTGCATTCAATATTACTCGCATTCTTTTCGGTTAGCTTTTGAATAATGAAACCTTGTGTCCTGCACATGCTTTGACTGAACATTCAAACATTTAATGAATATTCATAAACATTCTGAAATTTAAAAGACTTGATATATCAATGACATCCTCGCTTGTGTATATAAACACGTGCAACAAAATCATACATTGCCTTAATAAACTCCCTTCGAGAGAGAAACGCGTCGGCTTTGAATAGTTTTTCCTCTTGTCTGTTTTACTCATTTTTTTTCATTACAGATACATTCAACTGAAAATAATTTACACAGGTATATATATATATATATATATATATATATATATATATATATATATATATCGAGAGATAGATATAGATATATATAAAGATATATATATATATATATATATTTGTGTATTTAGGCAGCAATCCTTCTTTCATGCACTTTTCATTGAATACGAAAGACAAGTTGCTTTTTATTTTTTTTTTTTATGCAATTTCTCATGCGGTCTTATAATTTTTATTCTTTTCAGATGATAAATTATATAAAAACTGTCCGAATTAGCCATTTTCAAGGACAAAATATTTCAACTGTTAACTCTCTCTCTCTCTCTCTCTCTATATATATATATATATATATATATATATATATATATATACAGAGAGAGAGAGATCTATATATATATATATATATATATATAGAGAGAGAGAGAGAGAGAGAGAGAGAGGAGAGGAGAGACAGATAGATAGAGAGGGAAAAGAGAGACAATGAGAACGAGTGAGAGCGAAATTAACTGATTCGGTTTTATCTTCGACTATGTTTTTGGACAAGGATACGTCGAGATTCACACATTTTTTAACATTAAAATTGTAATAAGCGCATAATATTACATTCTCTGTATTCATATATCTATCTATTATATCTCTGTATATAATAATACACTCCACACGCACACAGATGTTATGCCCTGTGAGGGTTCAATTTTACAAGCTCTCTTTCCCCTTAAAGCGCCCAGGAGGCACTACGGCGTGGCATAATGGTTAGCAAGCTTGTCTCGCTAGATCAATGAGTAGTGAGTTCGATCCTCACTTTGTGCTCCATACTTTCGGTTTGTACTAAATCTAAGTTATGCCTATTAGTGTACTCCTTGATATGGTGTAGCGAAGAGCAAGCTTGTGTCGTCAAAACATTTACGACTAGGTAGTGAGTTCGATCCTGTCCGGGTGCCCCATACTTTCCGCCTTTTGCCACATCCTGGATAAGAGAGTGGAATACGACATCATTATTATGTAATAGCGATTTTTTGTCCAAATTTTCTTATGGAATCAATAACGTTTTCCGATTCGGAGATCCGATAAGCTTACCGAATGCAAGAGACAATTGCGATTATAACAACAAACAAGATGAGAACTGATCTTAATTGATCAGTGTATAATAAAAATGTCTCGTTTCGGAGATGCAGATAAAAACTCTGTGACTTTATATTTTCTGGCGACCACATGATACATCTGGCCACATTGACTGAATACAACTGTGATCGCATTTCACCAAATGTTTTTTTTTTTTTTTTTTCTGTCGGCATAAAACCAATCAAACGGTAAAATCCAAACAGAGTAAATACTTCCTTTTGAAGAATTTACATGCATTTCTCCGGGATTTCAACGGTTTGCCATTAATGACGCTCGGACGATCAATTCAGCCTTTGACTGCTTTATTGCAACACCGGTGCTTAATGGCTGATAGATTTAACGATTTAGCTGTGAGTTATTATCAACGGTATACTTTTCCTTAGTTTATGTCAGTAAACAATCAAAATATATAATATATATATATATATATATATATATATATATATATATATATATATATAAATGCAAATGTAAATACTCATGTATGACTGCGTATTTGTGCAGAAACCCCTGTCCAATGTATGTTACTTTGAAAATGAAGGTACCTCTGTAAGGTTTTTTATTGTATTTTCCTTGTATGTAAACAAAATATTTGTGATGGTGCGGGAGCTTTAATATACGTAAAAAATTTATTAATGGTCAATTTTTTTATACAGTCTGAGAGCTATTGGTTAATTTTGAGCTGTTTTCAACGTTTCTGCATCTGAGATTGTTAATGGTGCTGCGTAAGTTGATGAAAGGTAAAATTCTTCATAACTGATGATCTTGCTAAAGGCTATTTTATTATTTTTATGACGTGGTCTACAAATATATATATATATATATATATATATATATATATATATGTGTGTGTGTGTGTGTGTGTGTGTGTGTGTGCGTGCGTGCGCGCGTGTGTGTATGTATGTACGTATGTGTGCATGTCTATGTATGTCTGTCTTTGTCGCTACGTATTTGTGCAGAAATCACTGTCCATTACATGTTACTTTGAAAATGCAAGTGCCTCTGTAGCTTATATATATATATATATATATATATATATATATATATATATATATATGAATGTGTGTGTATGTATGTATATATGTATGTGTGTGTGTGTGCGTGTATGTATCTGTCTGTGTGTGTCTCTGTTGCTGCGTATTAAGATTGACATAACTTTATTTAGAAGGTTAAATGAAAGAAAGTCTAAATCAATAAATACCATTTATATGTTTCGAATACTGCCGCCAGTTTTGAAAAAAAGAGAGAGAAAAAAAAATCAGCAAACAATACGTGTCAGTTTTGGCAAAACTGACGTCAACTAATAGTGATTTTGTATGAAGAGTAAATTCTCTACTTATATTGAAATTAGCACGCGAAATCCAAGTTGGATTTAAACACTGATGGAATGGATGCACTGTATTTAATGTCCATTAAGAAAAAAAAAAGATAAGCTATCTAAGCATCTAAATTATGTTCCCTCTCTTTCTTTTATATTTCTTCCTTCTTTTTCTTTCTCATATAGTAAGGTAGATATGGTAAAATTTATGTAATGTTAACCGATCCTTATATGCAAGTATTTGTTACTAGCAGCCATAGCCAGCTGGTCGATCAGAAAAAGCTTAGAATGGAGCAAAAACAGCAACCTATTTAGATGTAACAGAATATTTCTTCTTCAATTACATTAAAGTACTTTCATTAAAAAAAATCATTTTGAATTAATGCAGTTAGTGTTATAAAAGAAGTAATCTCTATTTATTCAATCGAAGTTAGCCGGGGACATGAAGGGGTTAAACAGGCAACATGAAGACCCATTTCAGCCCAAAATTATTTTAGAGGTTTTGAAATTCAGTTTGTCAGAGCAATGACTAACTGGTGTATACGAAACGCGAAAATCGCGTCGCAGCTCGTGACGTCACACATGTCAACGCGAGAGTGACGTGACGAGCTGCGACGCGATTTTCGCTTCCGTGGTTCGTATACATTAGTTAGTCGTCGCTTTGAAATTTTTCATGCAACAAAAACAGACTATCATTATTGTTATGTGTATTGGTTGATATATTGAATAGTAATTGTCATCTTTGATAATGGCTTATGTAAGCCGAAAGCTTAGATTGGATTTAAACATGTATCAATATGGCGATTTCTTTTCGCCCTTCAATGATAATTTTATTAAGCTTATCAGACAATATGAATGTTTAAATGGAACTTACTTAAAATAAGTAGACAAAACTTTAATGAACCATGCATCAATGAAAGATTGCTGGCTAAATATCTGCTTGTCTGAATCATCTTCAAGAAGCGAGAGCAAGATCTAAAAAAGGTCAGCCTATCTAACAGTGATCTCATCTCACAACCCTCGCACTTGCTCCACAAGTGGCCTCCTTTGTAAGTCACTGGCAGTTGTTAAATGCCACTTAAGATTATCGCACAAAATTTTATAACTGAATCAATAAGCTGTCAGATCCTCATACGTCGAAACCGACGGGAGAGTACATTATATATATATATATATATATATATATATATATATATATATATATATATATATGTGTGTGTGTGTGTGTGTGTGTGTGTGTGTGTGTGCATTAGCAAAGCAGCCATTGATAGCGTCGGTTGAAATCTATAAAAAAGGTTTCTGTTAAGATAAAATTATGAGTAAAATAATTTCCTCAAGTCCGATAACTCTCATTGCGTTATCTCGAGTGATGTGCTACGGTGTGTGCAAAACCATTACCCTGATTATGCCCTTATTTTAATTTCGATTTACATATACTATCCATTTGAGTCGCGGATGTCGTTGAAAGTCCGCAAGGTATGTAATTTCTTTTGCTTGTTACAATACTTTTTGAGATTGTGTAGCGCCAGCTTGAAAAAAAAACTATGATCCACCCTAAAACCTGCGTGACCCTTTCGTGAGAAGCCATTTTTTACCATTGATCTAAGAATGTAGTTCTATACAGCTGAGAGTTTAGATATTTCTGAACGAGTCTCACGCTATGTATGACACTAATATCAATGCCCGGTCTGACGAGTCTATATAATTGATTGATTGATTTGGTTTTCACGGCTTATCACCCTCTTGCAGGTTATTTAAAGTGAGAATATATTTTTAGAATGTTCTGGAAATATACACTGATAAAACTATTAACCCATAGCTGGGGATGAAGAGGTGAA